CCTGATGCCAACACAGCATGCCATTCCTCAGGATAGCACATTGCGTAGAGGTAGATGGTGCAGGTAAGTGATGCACGATGCCCCATAGAATGGCATACCCCAGCCTGCGAGTGACATGGGTGTATCTGTGTTCTGCACCCTGGTCAGGCAGTCGATTTTTTGGAATATGTTGAATATTCGACCGCTTGCATCAGTGAAGTCACAAGTCAAAGGCACTGTATATTCTGCTCCGTGGAATGCTGCATCAAGCTCTTGCATCAAACTCCACCCACTCCGCTTCGGAAAATTTTTCTGCCCGCTGTTCGCACCCCATCACACAGGATTGAATCCCAAGTTGAAAAAGCAACTCACGATCAGCATCATGTATTCTACTCCTGTGCTGCGAATGGTAGCCTATCAGCACAAGTCTATCGCCTCACCACGGCATCGTTACGACGACGACAACAACAACTACTACTACTTACTCTGCTGCTGCTGCTGCTACTACTACTACTACTACTACTACTACTACTACTACTACTGCTACTGCTACTGCTATTACTACTACTGCTCCTACTCCTCCTACTCCTCCTACTCCTCCTACTCCTCCTACTCCTCCTACTCCTCCTACTCCTACTCCTACTCCTCCTACTCTTTCTTCTCCTCTTACTCCTCCTACTCCTCCTACTCCTCCTACTCCTCCTACTCCTCCTCCTCCTACTCCTCCTACTCCTCCTACTCCTCCTACTCCTCCTACTCCTCCTACTCCTCCTACTCCTCCTGATCCTCCTGATCCTCCTACTCCTACTCCTCCTGATCCTCCTAGCCTTCCCACTCCTCCTACTCCCACTCCTCCAACCCCGACTCCTATTCCTACTGCTGCTGCTGCTTCTACTACTACTACTACTGCTACTACTACTACTACCACTACTACTACTACTACTACTACTACTACTACTACTACTACTACTACTACTACTACTACTACTACTACTACTACTACTACTACTACGACGACTTCTACCTTACTACGACTACTACGACTACTACGACGACGACGACTACTACTGCTGCTGCTGCTGCTACTACTACTGCTCCTGCTACTACCGCCGCTGCCGCTGTTACTGCCACTGCCGCTGCCACTGCCACTGCCACTATCTGCTGCTACGACTGCGGCCACGGCTTCCGCTGTGGCTGCGAGTGCGGCGCTGCGACTGCGACTGCGGCTACTGCCACGACGCGACTTCGACCACGACGACCACGACGAGTACGACGACGACGACTCCGTTACCATGACGGGCACCACCACCACCACCACCACCACCACCACCACCACCACCACCACCACCACCACCACCACCACCACCACCACCACCACCACCACCACCACCACGGCCGAGTCTAGTGGGGTCATAATGGTACAAGCAGGCATAGATCCGAACGCCAATTTTCTGATCCGCTGTCGTGACGCACAAACTGTAGATGGTAATTAGTGACAATCAGCATCGTGATGCTGGTGGGCATTGATGTCGGATGATCGTCGTTGGACCTCAAAGCTGGAAGAGAAGAAGAGCAGCAAACCAGGAGTTTTTTTCCAAATCCCTGCATCCAATTCGGCCTTCTTTTCCTAGATGTGAGAGTTTCAGATAGAATAGCGGCGACATAGAATGTGGTGCCAGAATCGTAGCATCGATAGCATAGAAAAATCCTTTTACAAGGTTCCCCTCGTTTGCCCTGGAGCCGATTGAGACACTGATTTAGCTCCTTTAAAACTCAGAGAAAGCCTTGTGCCGCCCGATTAGTATCCCCTAATTCTAAGCCTTCAAGCCTAAACCCTAAATCCCAGAGTTGTGTAAACCAAAATCCTAAACCCTAAATGCTAAACCCATCCTACGTCAGGCCTGTCCCTGCGCACCTTTCCAGCCCTTGGCATCGGTGTTGGAGGTGCGCTGTCAAGTACGACTGTCAAGTGCGAAAGCAGTTCTTTTTAACAAAAGTTAAGCGTTTGGGCTGGCCGGGCTTAGGGTTTAGGGTTTAGGCTTCAGTAGGTGTGGAGTGAGGGCCTTATATGGATTTCATGACGGTATATGGGGTTCTGTAAAGGGATGGTTTGGAGGTCTCTTGCAGATAGTTCGGGCTATCCCATTCGGTGGGGCTTATATGAAAGGTCCGACTGCTTGGCGTCTATGTCGCGGTCCCAGATGTTTCAGATTCCATATCACAAAACTCGGCACCCTAATCCTGAACACCTCGAGCACTACTATACCAATGGCAGCAAAACAAGTGCTATGATCACTGTAGTCTTAGTACGAGCAGTATGAACGCTCGTTACCATATGTGTTCGTTACCATATGTGTAGTAGGAATAGCAATGGTAATCATGATCATAATCATAATCATAATCAGAAGCGTAGTTATCCTGCAAGCAGTACTCGGCATAGTCATCAGAATACACTGAAACCTAGAATTCCCACCTGAATCCCGATGCCGGCTCAGGAAGCCACGACACACTGCCACCGATGTGAATCACAAAGCCATAAAGGGTTTGGGGGTACAGGGCTTGAGGGTGGAGGGTTCAATCATCACGGATTCAACTGCAAAGTATTGGGAATCCTCTACAGCCTCAGCGATCAATCACCAGCTCTATTCTGCCACCGTTTGGAACACCACCGGGAAGTCCGGAGCTTAATGCAGGCATCCCCAGTAGGAGGTTCGAACCCTTCAATCCACCAAGAATGCAAACCCTAAATCTAAGCCCTAAACCCTAAACCCCAAACCCAACAACCGCAACCCGCAAACCAGAGATCTCAAAACATTCAACCCCAACGTTCGCAACAGCCCAAAGCCCTCACAACCTCGGCAAAAAAGGGCAAGCCGTCTTTGGAGAAAGATTCCGCTCCTTTAATAAGATACTTGCGTAGTGTGTAGGGCCATGTAGGCTTCAAGGGAAGAGGGGCCCGCTGCATGAAACCCTGAACCCCAAGTTCTGGGCCCCAAAGTTTGAAATCACCGGAACCGCAAATCTTTGAAGCGCAGAACCTCAAATCCTGAACCCCTGTGCCTTAAGTCCACAGAAGAGGACCCTGGGGGAAGTGGGAACCTATCGATCGTAGTTTTTGCCCAAATCCCACGCCCTAGATGCTCAACCCCAGAAGCTTTTAAAGCCTAAGTCCTAAATCTCAGCCCCAGTGCCCCCAAAGAAATCCCAAGCTCTGAACAGCACTCGCACCTGACGAAGGCGGTCCCGGTCTGGCCATCAATGCCATGAGGAGTGTGGTTGCGTAGGGCTGTCAACCATAGAAGAGGGTCGTAAAGCCGAGAGTTTCCAGTCTGGGATGTTAGGATTAGGGTGAAGGGTTGTGAATTTTGGTTTATATGGGCCTCTAGAGTCTAGGATTTAGCTTAGGCTTTGAGGTTCTGGTCTTCTTCAGATCTCCAATCTGTTGCACCCGACCCAGAAGAGTAGGGTCAGAGGCGAATTCGGCTGACAGTTTATTGACGCCTTAAAGGCAGCTGATGAAAAGGGCAGCGAAAGATGATCTAAGTCCTGGGTTGCAGATCTGGAATCTCTGCGCAGAGACTGCCGGGCAGCCATGGGCAGCCTGCAAGAAACAACCCACGCAGGAAGCAAAAGGAAGTGCGACATACAGAACAGCTCGAAATTGTCTTCGTTTGATCAGATCCGAACGAGGCCTTTGAAGGGAGCTGCTGGCGTCAAGCAGTGAAAGTGTGGCCCCTCGCGGCCTTCGCGATCTCAAAAGTGATCATGAATAGTAGTTGTTCAAGCCCCAGTCTTCTAAAAGCCATGCCAGTGGCCAGATATCCCCTGCGAAGACGCCACATCGCAATTAATCGCCGATAATCATACTCATATGAGACATGTAATTGTGTATCCCCCAGAACCCCAGTCTACTTAAGGCCCTTGAGATACTCATATTTACTAGCTTGACATGTGGTGGGATTTGCCAACCATGCAGCTGAGTTGTTCTGACTTGCAGGGGAGCTCATGTTTGGATGAAGTCAATCTGAGCGCATGCTCCAAAGTAGCAGAGCCTGCATGAGAGGTGCACGAGGCAAACGACACAGCAGCATCAGCAGTCGCCGTAGAAGGTGTTCTCGAGAGAGTCTTTGTGCAGTGCTTTATCATTGCTGCATAGCATGTGGAGCGTGAAAGCATCGAATCTGAAGTATTGAGCGTTCGCTGTCAATCGTCGCTGGGCCGGGCAATTGCAGCAAGTTCGACATATCGGAGCTCATCAATCATCAATGGCTTTGGTCGCTCCTTTCGTAATCAGCGGCCGTGATTCAGCGGCAAGGCTGTGGGTGGTTGTAGCGGATCCCACTCCACCTACGTCCTGCCGGGCTTCCACAACACATGCCACCCCTCTTCATAAAGCCTGAGGTCCGGACCATGCAGGGACCCCTCACGTGTCATCTGCGTGGGTAGCGGTAGCTGTCCCTTATGCATTTCGACTTAAATATACCAGCCCCCTTTCTTTGAGCACCGTGAAGTATTCCTAATCCTTAGCGGGGACCGGGGGTTTCTTAATCCCAGCCTCAACTCTGTACTCTGCTCTGAGCGTACAGGAAGCGCTGGGCCACGGTCCGAGACCGCCGGATCCCCACGGGAAGGGGCTATTCCTAAGGTTTGTGTTTGTCCTTTCTCAGAGGTCCTCAAGGCGAGGATCCTTCTGCTTTGGGGCGTCAATATCCCCCCCCTCTCACCCCTTGGCCACTCCATGAGCGATGCTGGTCTCTAGCACTCAGCTTTACGATGCCCTTCTGTGTATGCTGTTTTGTATATAGTCCGAGTGCAGACTGCAGGGCTTTGGGTTTCGGATTGTGGACAGGAATTTGAAGTGGACTTTCCTTCTGAAGACTTGGCAGGCTTAGCATCACTGGTACGTCAGCTTAATGCTGAGACACCCTAAACTAAACCCGAGAGTCCTAAGCCCGCAGCCCTAAAGCTCTCAAGCGTGTTTATTCGAATGGCCCAAGAAAGCAACCGTTGTCTGACTAAACATGCTGCACTTTGCTCTCTTCGTTGGCCTGACCCTGGCTCTGCGCGAAGTGCCCCGGCTGAGTAAAGTCTTTACATCATACGAATCATGCTGCATTAGTCCTCTCTTGTTCCTTATTCCTATGTCTGTATACTTTTAGTCTACTTATGCATGTATGCATGTATGTACGTACCTTTGTATCTATGTATTTATGCATGTATGTATGTAAGTAAGTATGTATGTATGTATGTATGCATATGCATGTGTGCATTTAAGTGCATGTGTGCCCATGTTGCCGAGCTATCTTCCTATCCTGCTAGCTGCCTGCCTACCTATCTATCTCTATCTATCATCTATCCTATCTGCCTGGGCGTCCTTGCATATATACATCTCTGATTTATGTTTCTGTCTATTAATTTCTGTCTGTCTGTCTGTCTGTCTGTCTGTCTGTCTGTCCATCTGTCTGTTTGTCTGTTTGTCTGTCGATCTGTCTGTCTGTCTGTCTGTCTGTCTGTCTGTCTGTCTGTCTGTCCATCTGTCAACCTTGTCTACGAGTCTACCGATCCATCAAAGACCATGGAAACTGCGGAAATCCAATTCGAATTCGGTTCGATGCGCTGATCCAATCAGACGCTTCCCTCAACCCCCTGCTTTTGGAAAGCTGTGCAGAAAACCTGCCTGACGAGCTAAATGGCTTCCCATCACCGTCCGGACTGTGACCAACAATTTCGGGAACACGAGGATGGGACACGGTCCGTCCAAAGTGTGTGCAACGGCTTCGGCTGGTCATGCGATCATGAACTAAGTAGTTGCGAGTCTAATGACCTCAACGTTGCAAGAAGGTTTAGGGTTCAGGGATATGCACATCTGATTGGCACGTGGTGCCCACGTCAACAAAGCCCCGGGTTTGTTCAGTTCAGATTTGGGGTTTTAGGGTTGATATAGAGGTCGGAAGAATCAGCATTCGTATTCCCTCATCGTCCCCTTATGCTCACAGTAGAACAATCCCCCCAAAACGCCAGTCTAATTATTACGGCCACTATATGATGGTGGATCGAAACTAACAATCCTTGGGCTGAGGAGTCGGGGAGGCTCTCTCTGGATCGGGATGCGGATGGCTACGTTATTGTCGCGCGGCCAGCAGTGAGCAATACTTTGAGATCCTAAACTCTCCAAACTCGATAAAGCTCTGCCTAAGCCCGAATTCCTAAGCCTGATATTAGAGTATACCATACAAGCCCCCCCACCTTAAGCCCCAGACCCCATGCAGGGTGAAACACCCGAGCCCATGAAGCCCAGGATTCCGACCCATGCAGCAGCCCCAGGGGCAGCGATTACTGCCAGGCGCCTTTCCTGCAGCCGGAAACCCGAAGCCCTGAACCCTTGAAAACCCTGAACTCTTCGCATTTGCACGGAGAGCCTAATGGTTGCCAGGGCATTTTCCATAAGTTTGAGTGAAGGTGTATTGCGCAATTAACAGGTGCGAAGAACATCCTTGTTCTATGTCTCTGCCCTAAACCCATCAACTCTGAAACCCTAGACTCTAAACTGAACCCTAAATCCATCAACCCTAAACCCCCAAACCTTGAACCTGATCCTGAAACTCATTAAACCCTAGACCCTGAAGCCTAACGCCCAAGCTATGAACCTTGATCCTGCAGGTGTCAGTGCAAGCAGAGCTGCGAAAACTTCAAGGGGTAGAGGCCAGTGTCTTTTGGAGCTGTTAAGGCTTTTCAAGTACTAGGCTTTTCAGTGTTTTATCTCAGCGTTCTCACGGTTTAGGACTTTCAGGGCTCTTCGGGCTTCGTGGTTTTATTGCGTATGTTTTTCATTTTTTTCGCTTGTTTTGGGCTTAAAGGCTGGGAGTTCAGAGTCTAAGGGTTTTGGAGACGGCTGGGATAAGGGCCGAGCAGAGCCTTAAGCTCCGGCCGGCTTACGCCAAAACCCGAAAGCACCGAAGCGGAGGCCTAAACTACCCTCTTCTAGAAACCCTTCTTCGGAGCACTAGCAACTTTCTCTGTTAGAAGCTGCCCCCACCCTGTAATAGTGACTATAAGGCGATTCTATTATATTCCTATTGTATACCACTACTACAAGGTGGGGCCCCTTCTAATTTCTCTTACCCTCTACCAATCCGCCCGAATCGAAAAGGATCCTGGTGCCCGCATTGGCGCGATCCTGGCGATTCAGGACGCAGGTTTCTGTGACGCCATGGGCACGGGCCCATGGGGTTTAGGTTTTAGGGTTTAGTGTGCAGGGTTCTTGGGCTTCAGCGTTCTGGAGTTTAGGTTTTCGGGTTTTGGGGGTTTAGAGACCATAAAGATCAGGGTGTTGAGCACCAAACCTTAAGAATCACTTGTTGTTTTATTTGCCGTCACCGGACAGGATGAACCCACAGCCTACAACCTAAATTCTGAACCGCCAGCAGGTGCAGTTGAGGACAGTTTACGGAGGTTGATTGACTGTTGCCAGAATGTGCCAGCTCGTTCTGTACTCAGATTAGAGTGGTGGAGCCTGCAGAGCGTCCAATGATTCAGGATACTCCGTAAACTGTTATATCCCAAGTCCTGCGAACTGTTATATCCTAAACCCCAGGCCCTAAACCCTAAATCTTAGAGTGTTAGATCTTGAACTCTGCAACCTGAACCCTAAACTGTTAATCCTGAACCCCACTCCCGGAAACTGTTACATCCTAAACCTGATTCCCTAAACCTCAGAGTGGTCAACGTTTCAATGTCAGGACCAAGCTTCGAGGGCTTGCTGCAGCCAGGGCACAGACTACGACGAGTTTGTCTTCGAAAGCGCGGCGAAGCACAACAAGGGGACCATGGTTCTGGGTTGAGGGTCCTGTTTGGCTGCTTGTCAAACTGTTCGGCTTCTGAGACTTGGATGATTCGCCAGACTTTACGTCTCCGACTTCCAGCTGTGTGCTGTACGGTTATGATGATCGGCTTCGGCGTGGAGCGTTGTCGTGAATTCCGGGAGTGTGACGTATTTGATAAGGCGGACTGCTTCGGACACATGATACCTGCAGTGCCCTAAGCCCCAAAACCCCAAACCCAAACCCCTTTTGTTCCAGGAGCACCAGCGCACCACTCTTCGACAGCACGACGGCTCTGGTGGTCATCGATTTGCAGCAAGTCGAGCCCTCAGCTATCAAAACCTCGCCTACAACCGTAGAATGCTGAAACCTGTAGTCCTGAAGCCTCCAAATCTTGAACGCTCTTATAAGCCTTCATTCAAGAACGCGCCCGTCGCGGACACCAACCAATTCTCTTGTAAAACCCTGATAGTGTGTGGACCAAGCCGTTTGGGTACTGAACCCCTTTGTCAGACCCTCCTGGACTCATGAGCCAGAACAGAAACCCTAAATCCTAAACATCCCTAAACCCTTTACCCGAAACCCTAAACATCCCTAAACCCTAAACATCCCTAAACCCTAAACCTAAACCATAGACAATACACATCCCTAAACCCAAAGCCTTCTGAAGTCGTTTGTAAAGTTTCATGGCCAAGGACTTCACTCAGGGATCCTTGCGGCAGCCTTGTTGGGATGTTGGCGGCAGCACCTTCCTCAGGAGCCTTCCCCAAAGACGGGGTGGGTTTAGGGTTTAGGGTTTGTGGGTGTGGGCCTTCCCTAGAGACGGTTTAGGGTTTAGGGTTTGTGGGTGTGGGGTTGGGGTTTACAGGTGTTTGGGCTTTAGGGCGTCTAGGCTTTTGGATGCTTTTAGTTTTGCTCCTACTGTTTACAGGGGGCTTTCGGGTTTAGGAACCTATGGAGGTGGGGTTCTTTTGCAGGGTCCTTCGCGTAGGGGGCAGGTCTGCAAGGGTCTTCCGGCTTTGTTTAGGGTTTCCGGGTCAGGATTTCGGGTCTTACGGTTTAGGGCTTCGTGCTGAGGGTGTGGAGTTTAGGCATTTAGGACTTTAGGGTTAGGTTGCGTAGAGTTTAAAGATTCGGTCGGGCACAGGGAAGTCATGGAAATCCTCCCTGCTGTCTGGGGCTATGCCGACTAACCGAAGTCTGCGGTTGGAAGCTTGTGGAGGGTCATGAATCTTTCAGGCTCTGGATGAGCTTCATGTTGGGAAGCTGCGTTGGTGCAGAATTCGGAGTGCACATGATCTGAAGTGCAGCTTGAAGCGCTTGACGATTTGATACCAACGCAACGCAGCGCAGCGTAGCCATGCGATGTTTGTATGCACACGAGAATTTAGCAGCTCCCCAACTTCGGTGTCAGTCAGTCTTCCAGAAAGGCTCTCATGCATTGTCGAAAGCTGTGATATGAAGCAGCAGGTTCAGAGGTGAGCATCCCAAGCTCCAAGCCCCAAACCCCAAACCCCAACGCTAAGTTCTTCAACATACCCCAAGCCCTTAAGATCAACGTGCATAAATGCCTGTGCCGACTTTTTCTCGTCTCCGCCGGAATCTGTGATCCTCGATGAACAGCAGAAGCCTGCTGCAACCCGGTCCCGGGTTTTAGGGGTCAGACAGGCTGCAGGGAGTTCTTTTGGTTTGGGCGGGATCTTAGATTGAGGATTCTACTACTGCATTTAAAGTGTTATATGTAGGGGAAATTTCCGGTTTGAGGAGTCTTTTTTGCAACATGTGGTGATCATGCTTGCATCTCGCAGTCAGAAGCCCCACTTCGTGATCTGGCAGGAACACGGAGCAGCTCATTCAAAAGGCTGCAGCGCCTTGGCTCGGTAGTCTGTGTCCTGTTTCCGAGTGAGAGGTCTGGGCCCGGGTTTCGGCGCTGAAAATCTCAAGGTCTCGGGTTTCAGGTTTCGGCAAGCTTCAGTTTATGCTTGTGGCTTGCCTGTGTGCGCAGAAGTATCCTGTAGACCTCTCCGACCAAGTCTGCGGGTGCTACGATCATCGCCAGCAAAGACTTCCACCCGCCCGACCACTGCAGCTTCGCTGGGGAGGCCTCAGAAGGGTCCCTATGATCTAGGAAGCTCCAACAGTCCGGCCTGACTGTTTTTGCTGCGCTTCGGCAGGAGAATTGCTTGAATCAAAAGGACAAGCACGAGGGAACTGCCAAAGAGAGGCGCGCATCTTTGCAAGCGTTTCCGCAATTTTGATCCAGAGCCTGTGGCCTCAATCCCAAAGCCGAAAGCCTAGTCCTTAAGCCCCAATCCTTAGACCCAATTCTCTGTCGCCCAAGTCCTGAACCATCAGCTGAGGCGGCTCGTGGGTCTAGCCTGCACTGTCTGGGTTCTTGTTAAGGAGTTTAGCTTAAGTTACCTTTATAGGTACCTATCGTAACTAATATGGTTCCGTTTTGTGGTAACTTAAACTTAATTCCTTAACAAGAACCCAGACCTCGTCAGCCAGGTATGTGAATGACTTTCCAAGCCACTGCAGCCGCTTGGCAAAATATGGCCAACACCAGTGGCAGTAGTAGCATTAGCAGCGTCAGCAGCAGTAGAAAGAAGTCGTCTTCGTCGTCCTTGTAGTGGTAGAAGTACTCGTACTGGTAAAACGCATTGTCATCGCAATATTCACAGAAAGACCTGGATAAGCCGTAAGGCAATTGCGGGCACAGTGGCATTCCCTTCGTGCCTGCTATGCGATCGCGGAGCTACTTAAAGTACATGGGAGCGAGCATAGCCCCATCCCAAATTCTGTACCCTAAACAGCCCTACCAGCGAAACCCATTTCTAAACCCTAAGTCCTACAGCCCCCCACGCCCTAAACCCTGAAACTCTGGTTGAATTGGTCTGAGGCTTCGAATGGACGAATGGCACGGCCGTGCCGCAGAAGGCCCTCCTACATCGCAGATCTCAGCTGAGCTGGTCTAGTAGGGGCTTATGATTTAGATATGGGAGTTTCAGGATGCGAGTTATGAACCTCATAAGGCGTATCAAGCCCTTTGTACCGTGAAACTCCAGAAGAAGCCTCTAGCAAAACAGGACCGCCATACGGAAGTACCTCCAAGCTTTGACGGATCCCGTAACCAGGCTCCGGAAACGCCTTTCTGCAAATTCATGGACTCCATCGAGGTGAAGGCATCGCGTTCTGGGCGCTGCACTATGGAGAAACGTGGAAAGTGTATACGAAACCACAGAACAGCAACTATCAGCACGAATAATCGTCATCACAATCACGACAGTAATGATAGTAGTCATAGTTGTCATGACATTGAAGAAGGCATCGTCGAGAATCATGGTAAACACATTACTAGTAAACACGATAAAGCTCACGACTGTGTTGTTGCTTCATTCCAAGCTGGATCTGGCATTCAAAACGGCTTAGGGTTTCGGGGTATAGGGGTTGAGAAAATGAGGCTTTTTTCATCAACATCGGCGCCTCAAGCAGGTGCCGTTCTGCGGGCAATTTGACTTTGTCGGTACAGACTTCGACCCAGCTTTGGCTGAGGCCGGGAACAGCTCAACCCTGAAGCCCCAAACCCCTCGACCATCAACTCCAAGCCCCTGAGCTCTGAAGACTTAAATCCTAAGCAACCCTACACTGCAAACCGGTAAACCCGCCAGTCTAGGCCCCCTTCGGCGGGCAATCGCGTGCAAACCTGGAGTCCAGCAATCAAAAACCCTTTCTGGAGATCTGCTCACCGGCCAATCTATTGAAGTTTGCCCGGCCACCATTCCTACGCCTTGAACCGAAACTATGAATTGTTTGAGTTCCTCCACATCACCCACTGGCTAGCTCTCGTGTCGGCTGGGGTGGACCACGTAGCACTTTCGTCCCTGGGAATGATATTGGTGCTGAACCACATGTAGGTATTTTCATAATGAACATTGTCAGTACGGTTGTTCCTGTAGTTGGTATTGTTCTTGTGTGTTATCTGTTATTGCTCCCACAAGCGGTAGTGTTAAACAGCTTCGTACAATGATCGTATTTGGCGCAGTAACATGGATTGTGCTACTCATGGTAATATTTTGATTGGCCTTTCTGCTCTCGGGTGGGTTGTTTTGTCTGGACGCGGTTTTCCTACTTTCTAACCTCGTCTTCTCCACGCTGTGCAGTATAGGCCGAGTATCTTGCATTCCTTGTGATCCCGATGTTGGGTCTTTTCAATATTGGGAAAGGCACTAGGAAAGAGAGTAAACAACTGTGATAACCGATAGTCGTAACCATCGTGGCACTGCCTGCAGCTATGATAGCAGGCAGTCGTATTCAACGGTAATTGTGCAGACAATACTCGCTTGCAGTACTGGTGATAATAATGCCAGTAAGAATTATGATGAGATTCGTGGTTGGAATGAATTTGATACGAATAGTGGTAGCGAAAAGCAGTCGCAAAAGACTACTTTACTTTGTACACATGCTACTTTATATGTTCATGCTTCTTCTTGGTTTTATGCCCAATATGGAGCTCTCGTAGAACGTAGCTCCTGCAGTCGCCAAGGCTCAGGGTTCGAAGGCATGTGGGAGTTGTGCTTTTACAGCACTGCCACGCAAGGGCTATAAATATCCTGTACCTCAAAACCCGTTCCAATCGTTAACAAACAGATCTTGAATCATCAAAAGCCTCACCCTGAACTTCGAGGCGCTGTCTAGGGTTGACCGCAGCCAGGCAGGGGGGGGCAGGGCCGGCTACGGACAGAGTGTGGACCAGAATTAATGGTAGCGAACATGTAGGCCCCATGCCAACACAAGTTGCAGGCACAGGAAGCTGGGTCCCGTGATACAACGTCGCTGGTAGAATCGTTGGACACGTGACGCTGCAGTTTGATTTCTGGAAGCCGTTGCCAAGCAGAAACTCTGCACACCCGACCGACCGCCCGCCCGCCCGACCGACAGACAGACAGACAGAGGCAAGAAGTAATTGCTTTCGAAAGACCGCTGTGCATGTAGCAATGTAGCATCGGTTTGGGGACTCGCCCGGCAGGTTTGAGGCAGATGATAAGAGCACCAATTTCAGCATTGACGGTGCATTGTGTGTGACTGGAGCCCGTGCAGAGCCCTTAGGGAACCATGACAGAATCGAACCCGTTTCGAATCCCTAAGCTCCCCTCCAAGGTGGAAGTCGTCTTCAAAGGCTTTCACCAAAAGTACGACTCCTTCAGTGCCATGGAGCACCGCGAAACGCAAGAAGGCTTGCGGGCGCGCACTTCTGAGGGTCAGGGGTTAAGGGGCTTGGGTCTTAGGGGGGGAGAGTGGGAAGAAACCCTATACCCCAAACCACCAACTCACAGCAGCCCTTTCTGCAGGGTTTGGGGCTAAGTCGGTGAAGTCCAGAGCCTCAGGTCTCCACGGAGCGCACGAAAGCTCACGGGCCTAAGAACATCGGGTAAGCGCAAAGGGGTCAAGGAACACGGTTTTCAAACCGAGATCCACCGCACTTTCCGTACTTGCCTCATGAAACTTTGCATGTCAGCCTGCTCTAATTCTCATCGCCGAGAATGTTAATTACATTGTTGCGAAGGGACGAACTCCAGACCCTCAGCACTAAAGCCTTATCCCTGAAACCCTGCGTCCCTAAACCCCAAGCATTGATGTCCTAAGACCTGAGCCCTAGCGACCAAACCCTAAACTTCCCAACGCAAGTTCCCGGCGTCAACCGACAGCCAGATTGCAATCTTCATACAAGTATATTATAATCTATAATATACCAAACCGAGTTCTAACTAGTATCGTCATTGTTCCATTTAGTCTTGTTCTTACTGGTGTTGTTATTGTTGATAAGGCCCCTATGTTAAGCCTTCGGCGAGGTGCCATGAGCGTCGAGGACGAGGAGATCAGGTTTACAGGCGCGCATGCCAAGCTTTGCATCAACCGCATGGGGGAGTCTAGGGGTGTATGAGGTCTTACAGGGCTTCTACGGGATTCTTATAGCGGCTTCTCCAAAGCAGGGGTGTCATATTTAAGGGTCACGATGATACAGGTTCTAGTATTTCGAGTCTATGTTGTCATTGTTGTTCGAGTACGATTCTGGTACCCTCGAAGCCGAAACTCTAAGCCCTGAAACCCTAACACCCTAAATCCCTGGACCCCCCAAAAGTATTCAAAAGCCCTAAATCCGAAACCCTACATCTGACACGTTAAGCATGCGCCCTGCCTAAAACCCTGCCCTAGGCCTCCCCTACACCCAACATCCCTAAAGCCCTAAGCCCGAAAGCACTGAAGTTCAGGTGGCTATGCTTTGTCCACTGCTCGAGACGATGCCTGTCACGGCAAGTGGGATCAAGCCGACTGCTTCTGGGCCTCGGTTCGGGCTTCCTGCTTTGAGGTTTCAGGGTCTGGGGAGCCCTAAAAAAAGCCCTGAGCCGGTCGGGCTTTCGGGCTTGAAGGCCCAGGGTGGGGCTCGCCCGATCGAAGCTGGTATACTCGCCTTGGGGAAAGCACGTAGGATAGGGCCTCCAAATCCGGCCTGGGCTCATGAGATCCCCAGATGCCTTCTTTGTGGATATTCTTATCACGATTAGTATCAGTAATTCGTAATGTTATTATGGTCACAGTTTTTATAGTATTTTTGTGATTTTTATGATAGCCGAAGCTTCAAGACTGCTCGTGAGGCTACCCCACGAAGGATGAGCTCTTCGGTTCAGGCCCAGGAAGGGCTGCTTCCGGAGAAGTTGGAGGGTTTGGTTCAGGGTTTTAGGGCTTTAGGGTCTGAGGGTTCAGGGTTCAGTTTAGAGTTTTAGGGTTGCAGGGTTTGAGGGTTTGGGGCTTAGTTTAGGTTGGGTTATCGGTTTAGGGCTTAGAGTCAATGGAGATTTTGCGAAATGTTCTTGGGATGACTAAGCCCTACTCTCCAGACGTAAAACAGAGATACCCCAACCCCAAAACCCCAAGACTTGAACCCAGAAAACCAAACCGACCACTCAACACCCAAAACGCCTCGCCATAAACACAAAACCCACAATCCTAGTTCCCACAAGTGCAACACCCACAAGTGAATTCCCTTGTGCACCCTTCAAAGCCCATACGCAAGCCGTATAAGACCCTCTAGTAATGAGAAGCTTTCGAGGCCTGCAAAGTCAAAATTACTGGTGCCCCTGTTACCTCCGAGGCAGTCAAAGTTACTGGTGCCCCTGTTTTGGAGAACATTAAATTCAAGCCCTAAACCCGAGACCCTGCCCAGGGAGGCGCAGCTTCGCAGAGATACTTGAAGCACGCCGAATCAAGAAGACGCCCAGCCCAATATTTGTCAAGGCTTAGGGCTCTGCGAGGTTTTTTGCAGCCTCTCGTCTCTAGGACTTGTGGGTTTTGGGGCTTCGAAGTTTAGTTTTCTGTTACAGGTTGTTTTGCGGAATTTAGCGTGGACTCCTGATGGAGAAGCCGACAGTAGTTTTCTTCATTTAGCAGAGAGCCCCAAAATGGTGCAACCTAGCCGGCCACTGCACGCCCTAAGCCCTAAACGCGAAGCCCCCTCAGGATCGTTGTCACAGGCTTGGTCTACGACTTCTGCGTGAAGGCAGCTGGGGTAAGCAACCTTTCGGGTTGAGGGTATTCAGTTTCGAGTGTTAGGCTGCAGCTAGGCTTGTGCTCCTTTCTCTTAACGTCAAGGTACCCTGAGCAAACCCGGCTTGGTGTTGCAAGGACAAGGTGGGTTTTGCGAATAGCCTCAGTGGCTCAAGCAGACGCGGAAAGGAACTTTGAGACCAGGGAAATGGTACATGGAGGGGCCGAACTTTATTTCCCTTCGTCCAAAATGTCCTGCCTGGGGCCTTTTCTTTGGCTCCGGTTAGAAGCATGCGGGTCCCTGCAGCAAAGTCCGCGCAGCTTGTTTGTCATGACACGTGTTAGTTTTTGGGAGTTTTGGAATGTACGGCCCCACACGAAGGGATCTTAAATTATTGAAGAACCCCCGCCATTCTATGCCGAACGGCATGAGTGTCACGATCGGCGCAGACGAGCCACGGCCGTCTTCACCGTTCAGATTGGCACTTCACGGCTTGCGGAGGAATTTTTGCCCTGCCGATGACGAACACGCTATGCAGGAAAACTGGCTGTGCAATGGCTGGGCAGGCGGGTTCGCTCGTAGGGCAGGAAGCAGAGAATCGACTGTGCGCTCAGAACTGGATGCAGACACGGTGTTGATGACGCGGCAACCTTGCTAAATATTCATTACGGAAGGTACTCTACGAACACAGCAGCATACGAGGCTCAGCCTTTGTCGCCGCACAGCCTTACCTACGCCCTCGCTTCCATGTCATTTCGGAAAGCAAGGACATAGAAGAAGCAGTGGAGCTCGCCCCGTCGTTATCTGGAGAGCGCTTGACCTGCTTATCACATTACTCGTTACCTACTCGCCAGGTAGCCTGATGCGTGAAGTAGTGTCTCGAAGCATGCGCTGGCACGTGCAAGGAGACTGCCATCTTCACGAGGGAGAACAGTCCTTCCACGGAGGCCTGGATGTTGTGTGCATTCGTTGCATGTCTGTCCGTCTGTCAGTCAGTCTGTCTGTCTTCATGTATGTATGTGTCCATGTATGTATGTATGTATGTATGTATGTATTCATTTCATATCGCTGCTTTGGCACTACTGTAATCACCTGCTACAAGTAAAGCGTGTGTTTCGAAGTGGTGATCTTGAATGCCGGGTGAACCGCTGCAGAATGTTAGCATGGGGTCATTTCGATTCTGGTAGTCAAGATGGGATAAGGGATCCACACATCCGCCCTCAATAGTAGGATACCCACTATACGGAGCTTCGAACAAGTTACCCCTAAATTCAAGACGCCCCGATGCGCCCTTTCCTAGATCCGAAACCGCTTTACCTATGGTAATTCAAGCTTTTTTCTTCGTGGCTTTCGGCCGTAACTGGTGACTTCCGGGTTTCAATTTTTAGCCTTCGGTCGTAACTCGCTGCTTTCGGTCAAACTCGTGGCTTTCGGTCATAGCTCGTGGCTTATGGTCATATCTCCTGGCTTATGGTCAAGTGGTGGTTTGAGGGTCGGGTGGGGCATGTCTGGGATGCGTGGTTTAGGCACTAGGATTCGTGGTTTCGGCGCTAGGATTCGTCGTTGAGGCCCTAGAATTGCTCCAGTCTCTAGGATTCGTGGAGTTGTGGTTTAGGCGAAGGAATCGTGATTTAGGCCCAGTGCGTTTAAGTAATTGTCAGAAAACGATTTCATTAATTTCCATAATCCGTTTCCTGACGAAACGTAACAAAAAGAGTTGCAAGCAACGTAAAACATCGAAAGAGCATGTCAATAAAGAAAACAAGTTCGATTTCTGATGTTGGGGGATTCTTTGAGCGAGTGGGTATTGGTCTTGAGGATAGCTTAACCCTAAACTCTAAACCTGAACCCTAAACCCTAAACTTCCGCCCCGTTCGGAGCGAGGTGTGGGTCTTGGCAGATCTGACACGACCCAGCTTCGATGGGAAGCCGGGAGCAGCTTGGCATTTGGCTTCTGAGTTTCAGCTGATTTTTGGGTTTAGGGCCTAGGGTTTAGGGTCAGATGTTTTCAAAGTCATACTGGGATGTGAAGCCTTAACGTCCTAAACCACGAAACCCTGAACCCCAAACCTGTCAGCGCCGAACGATGAGAACCTAAGCACTCAAGGTATATCCTTGAAAGCCCTCAGCACTAACCCGTGAACTGGGCGAAGGCGGATAGCAAGACAAGACTTACCTTTGGTTGGTAGGGAATGGAAGAGTGGTAGTAGTAGTAGTAGTAGTAGTAGTAGTAGTAGTAGTAGTAGTAGTAGTAGTAGTAGTAGTAGTAGTGGTAGTAGTAGTAGTAGTAGTACTTATAATTGTATCCCATTCCTCCATTCCCTACTAAGCAAAGGCAAGAAAAGCTGGCCTCGGCTAAGACTCAGGCGCCCTACACCACTGGTCTATGCGATGGTCAGGACGGCAGCCCAGCTAGGCACGTGCATAAACCCTTCGTTGGGTTCTTGGAATTGCTCCAAGTCTGGCTTCGCGGGTCCCGGGTGAGCATGTCTAGCGCTTCAATAAATCCTCAGAACTGCGTGACAACCGTTTCTTCTCCTGACAGGGGAAGGATGCGCAGGGATTCTCTTCCGGGCTTGAGTTCGGTTTTTCGGTGGCAGCCGGAACCACGAGGACAGCTTTCTCATGGTGCAAGCGCTAGTCGTGCTTCTGCAGCCCACAGTCGCAGGAAGCCGAGAACGGCTATTGCGCTGAAGGTGGTGGCACAAAGCAGTGGCAACGCGCTTAGCATGGTGACTATACCACAGCCCGCAGTCGGTGTTTCCCTGTGTTTTGTCCTTGGTATCATGCCCTGAGGTACAAAAGGGTTTTGCAGGACTTCGTGGACAATGATGTGAAGGTGCACTCTTTGGCATCAAAAGGTTTTAGGGTTCATACTGGGCTCAAGGGCTTATGTTGGGTGTGTACAAAGCTCAGGATCTAACACAGAATCCCACAAGGTCCGTCGTTTTGTCGTTGGCCTGCAGGGTGCCGTTGTCATGTTTGTTATGCTTGCAAAAAGCAGCTGCGTACAAACTAACCCGTAAGGGCTTCTGCACGTTTCGACTGTTCTCTGTGGTCCCTAAGCCCCAAGCTCTCTTTCAAGACCTCTGTGACCTTAGAGCAGTCTTTCTTGCTGACAACATGACCAGTGCAGCGGTTGCCAGTTCCAGGTAGCATGATCCAAATCCAAGCTTTTTCGGAACCGACCTGTCCATGTCTTGGTTTTGTCTCTAGCCCTTTCCGCCTCGCTTAAATTCGACCAAGCCATTCAAATTCGAAGAAGTCATAACTCAAGTAGCGATACTGTGCTGCCGCGCCTAAACCTACTTCAAAGCCGGGAGAGTAGTTTCGCGTGCGATGTCAGCCACGCTGCCTTCCCTCTGCCATCTTGTTTCAGCATCCCTCCCTGAGGCTGGAGGGAGCTACCGAGCCTTCGTCTCCCTATCAATTCCACAAAAAAAATTCCGGCGGCCTGGGGGGTACTTACTATAGAGGGATACTCTAAAGGATACGGTACTATAAGGTCTAGGGTTTAGGGTTTATCAATTCCAGAAGAGAGATCCGACCTGAGAGTCCTGAACCCGGCATGACCCCCGAATGTGCCAGCCTCCTGCCATGAGTTATTGACTACGTCGACTGTTTTTCAGGCCTAAACTCACAGAATCCCGAAAACCTGAGCTCCGAAGAAACCCTACCCACTCCTACCTGCCAAAACAGTCTAAACCGTAAGCAACATGCGAATACCCTTTCTATGCTGTAACATGTGAGGCTATACTAGCGTACACTATAATCTACTATGACCTACTATAATTCAGCATACTGTCACATGCGAAAACTCTATTACCGCAAAGGCCTAAATCCCAAACCCCAAACCCCAGACCATGGTCTGCGATTTTATGCTTGCCTTGGAGGTGAAGCGCCTGGTCGAGCCGGAGTGCGCCTGATCCATTTCCCCTCAAAGCCTCGGCAGTCTTCAAGCGACCGTTAACCATGCTGCGGAAGGTCGAACAAAAATGCTTGACACACCGGTGGAATGTTGAGGGAAGAAGAAGAAGCTAGTAGTGGTATTGCTGGTGTTGTGTCTTTGACGATTGCCAGTAGGGCTCTTGAACAGCGCAGCGTTTCTGCATCAGCGATGTTCAACTTTCCCACTCGAAGCCATGGCACGGAAGTGCGCAATTGCAAAGCTCGCGTTGGCTGTGTTTGGTGGCTTGGCGACAACATTCCAGGCCGGAGTCGGTCCGCGGCTGTGGTGTGAACACACCAATCTTGCTGTGCAGGCGCAGATGCCGTGCTTTCAGCTTTCCGGTCGGCCGCTCCCGCTCGCCACAAGTAAGGCTGGGGGGTGTTTTGGATATGCAGCTTGCAGGCCTGAGAGGCTTTGTCTGTCCGGCAGGTGCCACAACCTCCTGGGAAACGAGATCTGCCTCTTGCCACCAGGAAGGCCGGGTTTTCAACATCAGGCTCTTAGATCTCCGCATGCGTGCCGTAAGCGAGGTCACGTTGTCTGGAGGAACTGCGTGTTTCGAGAGACCACCAGCGAAGCTGCCAGCACGGAGTCTGCCCGGATGGCTCCCATGGCTTGCCCGAGGGCATCAGCACGTCTCCATTTGGAAGAAGCTGTGGCCCTTTGTTGTCTCAGTCTCTGGCGTGGTTCTCTCTGTAGAAGCCACATTGCGTGGCAGGCGTGATGCTGAGAGAGCCCAGCAGGAATCTCAAGAGGGCAGAACCCAAGCTGCGGCGGACCGCATGATGGTGCCCTTTCCCCCACAAACAAAGAAAGCCGAAGTGGTCGAGCGCGACATCACGAAGACCATCGAAGAGCGGATCCTGGGCTGGCATGAGCATGCAACCATCATTGCGGGGCGCTTCGGCGCGGGCAAATCCGTGGCTGTCGAAGAGGCCCTGCGCGACATGCAGGGCGTCTACGTCCACCAAGTCCGTGGCAACGACTGGGAGGAGAAACTCTACAAGCGCTTGGGCCTGGATGGGCCGGACATGCTCGAGGAGGTTCATCGTCGAGTGGGTGACAAGCTGAAGAGGCCGCCCATCCTGCTGCTTGACATCCCACGAACCACGAAGCAAGGCGGGGGGCGTTAGGGCTTTCGTTTCCCTTGGCTACTTGCTTTGCTGCATTCCGAGGCATGGAAACGATTTCCAGCTTCGCCAAGGAGCTGTCGTCGGACAGGAAGCTGGCCCACGCCGGGACCCGAAGACTCAGCCGCCCTGTTTCGCTGTGCTGCCGCAGGGTCTCGTGCAAGCTGTCCGCAGGGTTTCTTCCGAGGTGATCGTGTGCGCCTCCTCGGCCGCGATGGCCATCTCCTTCGACGCAGGTGGCAGCGCGCGCCAAAAAGACATCTGGGTGGGCGACTTGACTGAGAAGGAGGCGAAAGAGCTGCTGACACTCCGCGGGCACCAGAATGATTGGAAGCAATTCGTGGATGCATGCCCCTTGGTTGCGTTGTTTGCTGGCAGACTGCAGGTGCGGTGCTTGTTTTGTCATGGTGTTCAGGTGGCTTCAACGCTTTGGACTTGGTCGACGCCTGCGACATCTCGGTGGAGGCCAAGAAGGCGGAGATGGAGCAGAAGGCCCGCAAAGAGGTGCTGCGCTTCAAGGACCAGTGCAAGATCGCAGGAGACACAGGAAAGGAAATCCTAAACAAGCTGCTGGAAAACAGGCAGGCCGGCGAAGGTGCAGAAGAGCTCTGCACCGATGCATCTCCGAAGGATGTGGCGATGTGGATCCGCGAGAAGGGTTATCACGCCGTGATCTGGCACACAGTGAAGCGGGAGTACCAATTCGCATCGGAGCTGCACGCGAATGCAGCAATCGAGATTTTGAAGAGCACCTCCCAGTCGACGCCATAACTGCGGAAAGAAGGGCGTGACGTGGAGCACTAGTGGCAGCCGCTAAATGTTAAACACCCAGAGCTGGTTGTTTGCATGCCTGGGTCTGTAACAGTCTCGTGAGCCTGAGCAATGCGGCAACTCTTGTCCGAGGCCGTCCCAGAGATGGAGATTGGAGCAGCCTCGCCCCCGGCACCCTTCTCCCTGAACCTTGTGCAGAAATGCACGTGGCACACAACGATGTCCGTGGCTCGCGCCCAAAAGCTCCTTAGCTGGAAACACACGCAATCACGCATGCGGCTTGCCACATGCTGGAAGAGCGCATTGCGTGACATGGAGTGGCAAGCTTCAGAAACCGTCCAGCTGCTGGTAACTTTGGGCATTTGTTCAGCGGCTTGCATCAAGAAAGCGGGCTTTGTGTGATCTGTTCTTAATTGAACCATTTTTCTTCTAATTAGTAGCTGCTATCGCACGCAGTCGGTGAGGGACGGCCGCTCAGAAGTTTGGTTCTGCCATATAGATTTCAGAAGGGCTCTGTGAGGGATCTATGAGGGTTGCATCATGGGGGTTCTACAAGGGCTGTTGGAACATTTCCAGCGATGGCATAATTGCTCTGGTTTAGGGCTCCGCAGGTCGAGAACCATTGTTCGAGATGTTAAAGGATCCCATCAGTGATTTTCAACTCAGTTCTCCAGGCCCAGGTGTCAGTTCGCTTGGTGCTTTGGAGCTGTTTTTCTCTATTGGCTGAATCTTAACGGAGCCTTAGCCTCCTTCATACTCTCATCACCTGAACCGTGCGAAGGACCGGCGCTCAGCTCACAGTTCTTTTCGTGAGCGCCTCCCCCCGCCCACCCCATCACCATCGACATCACCTTCGTCATCATCAACGCCATCATCATCGTACCAAGAAATTCTATGCATGTCTGTATTTGTATGTATATATATATAGGTGTGCATATTCAGTATATATATATATATATATACACACACATACATACAAATACACACATATCTACATACACCACCATCCATGCATCTGGAGATATTTATACGCATGCATTGCATAGACACACACACACATATATATATATATATATATGTAACACATAAGCACTGCCACCAGCAGTCTTCATGAGAATCATTATCATTGTCATCATGGCATTGATTCATGTTGCGCGTTTTTGCTCGAGCATGCACGTTAGAATCTCTTTGCACAGCAAGAAGGCATCCCAATCAGCGAAAACCACAGAAATAGACGGGCATTGGACCACATTCAGACTGTGACATCGAGATACATGCTTGCGGGGTCAGGGATGACACGAGATCCGAAGAATTAGAAGTCATATCCGCTGATAGTCCGTACAACTGTAGTGCAACATACCCCTCCCCCAAACCGCAGTGCAACCGCTGAAGCTAAAGCTTCTACATTGAATCCTATCAGCCCCGCACAAATCCCGTAGAACTCATGTGGAACATTGTTGGAATCACCAAGCTTCTCTTCCGAATCTCTGCTGTGAAGCTTACACATCCCAACAGTCGAGGGCTCCAGTTCTAGGGTTCTGTCATACTACAGAGGGTTCTGCAGAAGGCTCCGGTCCTGTCTGTTCAGAAACTTCAGATTGTTCTATTCCGAGCCCTCGAGTATTGCCGCCTCTTCTAGAGCTGCTTCAGCCATGGCCGGGCAGGCAAGGTGTAGAGTTAAGTATGGAGGTCGGATTAATGAGGTTTTCCGCGGTCTCGGGCCTAGTTATTGTGCTTAAGCTTGACAAAGGCAGTGTCTCCACCTCTAGTGTCAGTGCTTTATCATGGAAATGCCCTCGTGACTCAGGCTTTCGGGGTGTGATGGCGTTGGTAGTAGCAGCAAGGAATATACTGAGCGTTGTATTAATCCTTGGTGATTACAAGTAAGCTAGTACACCACTACCACCATCCTCTGCATGTTCACCGTCATCTTGATCATATTTGCAGGCATGAGCGCGTTTGATCTGCAGCGGCCTAGGGCTAAATGCGTTTCTTTTCTTTTGTAAGGTTTCGGGCCTGATTTGTCTCTCGCTTCATTTGGAATATGCGGAAGTACTATATACAAACCAGAAGGCTACTCTCATGATTTAGGTCCGTAGTGTCGGATCGGATCGGCCTGAAGGCTGGATTCTAGGACCCACTCAGGTATGCACCGGAGTTTTATGCGCTCCAGGAGCGCGTGTTGCTCTTGACAGCATCTTACCCGTTCGATAGAAACATCGTAGCGATTCAGGCTGAAGTCAACCTTGTGCTTGTGCCTTCTAAAGTTTAGTAAAGTGCTGTTCTCGTTTCTTCACCTGTCCTTCTAGTGAAACTAACGGACCTCTCAGCTTTCGATATTGTTCGCTGCAGTTCAGGGCTCCCGCCCTCAGTGCCTTCGTGGTCCTGAAGTACAGTTTGTACCGTGGTCACGACACCCCTCGCCAGCTTCAGGCTGAATCCCAAAAGGTCCACTCCAGACAACCCGCCGCACTCCTGACTGTTCAGGGTTTCGGGGTTTTCGGAGCAAGGAACTCAACCAATGAACGGTCAATTGCCGGGGTTGTGGCTGCGGGCAACTCACCTGCTCTTCATAGCCCATGGGAGAACTTTCAACCTTCTACCCCTAAGCCTTAACCCCTAAACCGCATATTTTGGCCCGGTTGAAGAAGAGGCGAGCCGAAGACATCCTGTGAAGAGTCGGCGATCACCCGGCCAGCTACTTCTCTTACAGCTCTTGTGCCCAGTACTATGGGATACTAGCGGTTTAGGGGCTTAGTTAGCGGTTTAGGGTTTAGGGGATGGGCTCATACCATGGCTTGGATTATGTGGGTTCCAGAGAGCGGCATGCGAAAGTGCTGCAAGGGCGGCATCGAACATTTCAAAGCCACAAATCCTGAACACCCGATCACCGAAGAGCCTAACTCCAAGCACTCTCAAACCCCTTAACTTCGGACCCAAAACCTCAACAGCTATACCTTTGCACCGTGGAGCAACCCGGGTAAACTGCGACGATTACCCAATCTGGAAACTCCAAGACTCCTAAGCCCTAAGCTCTAAAAACCCTCTCGCCTCGTCACGGAAGGCTGTGGATGGCGATGGCTGCCACCACCGGCTTATCGAAACCCTAGAAGAAGGCCCGGTAAAGAAGCTGGGGTGTAGGAGATAGGATTTAGGAGGTTCATGCTTCTCACGAACTGTGAGGAATACTGCATGGACTAGCATTCTGTCTTGCAAGTGAACAGTAGACGTACTGCCTCATGGTGCTAAGTCAGTCAGAGACCTGTTGTCAATCCTATACTTCTTGGGGGTGGCGATCAGTATGAAAATGCTGTTGCCATTACTTGCTGTGCATGGCCTTTCTTCCTAGTGCATTCAGGCACGACGGTTCGGTGCTCTGTGCCGAACGCAACACCCTATGCTGGGCCCACTATTCAACATCTTCAACCATCATCCCAGAATCTGAGCTGGAAGCCCCAGCAACATGGTACATCTAGAGCCATAGCGTGCGTCCTTCAGCCATCCCAGAGGCTTTACCTCAGAGGCCGGGCGCCGAGAGCAGGGAAGAGTTGTGCAGTTCTCCATCCCATGATTTCGGTAAGTTCTGTCTACATTTAATCTGTTTGTGTGTCTATGGCAGCCTAAGCTGGCTTGCGGGCGTTGTTCTGCTCAGCGGGTCCGTGTAGTTCGGGTGGGCGTAAAAGCGTAAAAGTGTAAAAGGTGAAATTCGTTTTTCGCGTTTTACGTTTTTCGGTGGTGCTCGCCAGTGTTTTGGACCAGACAAGCTCCGCGTACAAGCGTAAAAGCGTAAAAGTGTAAAACCGTATTTTTGTTTTTCGTTTTTACGCTTTTACCCTGCCCCGCGTTTGTTTTCGCGGCACGTGATTGTCTGAAAGCGTAAAAGCGCAAAAGCGTAAAAGCGTAAACGGCCGGTTCTCAGCGTACAAGCGTAAAAGCGCAAAAGCGTAAAAGCGTAAAAGGCGCGTTCTCTGCGTAAAAGCGTAAAACGTAAATTTTGTTTTTCGCTTTTCGCTGTTTTCGCTTGAATTCTGCACCAAGGGCCGCTGAAACCGTAGTCTACACCCTGTAGCTCCAAGCCTAAACCCGTCCGGCTTACTATGTGGGCTACGGCGTCGCCAAGAATGCCTGGCCAAGGCCCCAACGAGTTAGCTGATGATGAAAAGTATAGAAAACAACTCTGTAGATTATGGTTTTGTAAAGAAGAAAAACCTGAAGCGGAAGAAGAAAAACAGAGAAAACACATTGGGAAAGGCGAACATTGTCATTACACTTTCCGGATATATATTTTTTGAAAAAGCTCGAGGAATCGAAGTGTCGAGCATGCATAATTTCATGTCTTGCACGGCATGCATGTAAAGGGATTGTTGCATGTATGGAGATTGGTAAGCTCGCAAGGTAAGATTGCTATGATTGCACGGCATGCATGCGGTCCTACTGCATGCACGTAAATGCATGCATGCATGCATGATCTCCTGTCTTGCTGTGCTTGCATAGACAAAGATGGCTTCGAAATTTTCATGTTTTGCCTGCATGGTATGCATGCATTTGCATGCAATGCATCATGTCATGCATGCGGTCATGAACGGTTTCTTGTTTTTGTTCTGCATGCATGCAGCTTTCAAGATTGCTTGCAGCGGCATTGTATGCAGCACGGCAGCGGACTATGTTTTTGCACCAGCTCGCATTCAGGTCGGAGTGCATACTCAGAAAACTGCATGCATGGTGGATGCTCTGATCATGTATGGGCCCAGCAGACTCCTCTCACCGCCTCCATGCATTGAAAGCTGGAAATCTGCCAAGCAAGCGAATTATTCGGCATGCCCTTCATGCCTTCACTCCCTTCTCAGCCGCTTGGTCGGGCTCTCACTTGAAGCAGGGCCATTGCTGTCGTCGTCATCATTGGTGGCCAAACAATGTCGAAACCACTGCCACCACCAGATCCTTAGATTGCAGCTTGCATGCACTTAGAAGCATGGCATGATGAAGCAAACTTCAGCCCAGGATCGTGACCCCTGCGATTTCGCTTCGCATCCAACACCACCTCCACTCAAACCTCCTAGGAAGAGGCGATCTGCTGCGGCCCGGGCTTTCATCGCGAGGAGGCATCGCGATCTACAGGGAGTTGCTTCAAGCAAAATGCTGCAGGCATCATGGAATGCTGAACCCTCCATAAATCAAAGATTGCATGCAAGCATGGATCAAACAAAAATTCTTTGCATGACCCATGCATGCATGCATCTTGGCAAGCACAATCCCATGTTCAAGCATGCATGATCAGCATGAGCTTCATGCATGCTTGAACGAGTCATGCATGCCGGAAGCAAGCAAGGGCAAGCATGCACATGCATGATTCTTGCATGTAAGCATGGACAAAGAAAGCATTATTTCTTGTTGATGGGCCTAAATTCGAAACAATCATGCATGCAACCTGCAAGCATGAACACATGCAAGGCAAGCATGACACTTGCAAAAGAAACATAAGCACAGCTGCATATTTTCATCATGCATGGCGAGGTCGCAAATAGGCAGGCGGCAACACGGTCAGTGTGCCATCATTGGCTTTGTTGTACACGACACTGCAAAGCAGGTCATCGGCACCGATGATGTAAATCTGGGGGTCACCTGCCTCTTCACGAAACTTGAGCATGTTCATGTCCCACCGCTGCTGAAGGAAAGTGGCGGGGGCAAGCATCACCAGAGCAATATTGTGCAGCTCAATGCAGCAGTGCACTTTGGCACATCTATAAGGGCACTCGTGCCCTGGCTCACTGCCATGCAGCACCATGTCGCCTTTCTTGATGATAGCACCATGCTTCAGCCTTGTCATGGTGCTTGTCATGCACTCACCCTCCTGCCGCAGGACATTGTACTGCACCAAGCTTTTCTTCAGCTTTGCAGTGCAAGCATGCGGCTGCAGCAAATGTGCCCGCAAATGGAAACCCTCTTCTTTGCCCATGACCGACAAATGCTCTGCAGTCACCTCTTCCAGAAGAGATGTGTCGAAACGAATCGTATTGCTAGAAGCCGACCCATATTTACGGGCGGCTTCCAAGACCCAGCATGCAGGCACAAATCCTTGTTTCTCGTAGCAACCATCCAAGTGGAGGGTCCAATGAAACTTCGGCCGCATCACTGGACCCCATCCTGCCTGCACCGCTTTTTCCAAGGCTTCCTCGCAAGCAAGGAGCAATTGTCTGGACCGAAGTGGTGCTTGATTTTGATCGTTCAAGAGTTCGAGCACATGCAACCATGCTAGAAGCGATGCTTTCGCAGGCTGCACTTCTTCTTGCAGGCAGCATGTTGTGAAGTAGTGCTGCAATGGTTTCAACAAACCCAGAACTTCGGATGCAGTACACTTGAGATGACCTGTTTTTCTGTGGCTCTTGATTTTGTCTGCCGAAAACAAAACTGCTCAAGGAGCCTTGTTTGTTGGCACCGGGCAACTGCCACAACTCCAAGTAGCCTGCGAAGGATTCCCACACATCGGCTTTAAATGCCATGGTTTCGCCATGACTCGAATGCCCGACATATAACGAAACTGAGAACTCCGTTACTGTTTAGACAATGCATCCAGTCGTAACAATATTGCGAAGCCGGCTTGATCAATCCCAAAGCTCGTAACTTGGAAGACATGCACAAAGCATGTGGCGAAAATGTCCAGGAATCGAAGTGTCGAGCATGCAGAATTTCATGTCTTGCACGGCATGCATGTAAAGGGATTGTTGCATGTATGGAGATTGGTAAGCTCGCAAGGTAAGATTGCTATGATTGCACGGCATGCATGCGGTCCTACTGCATGCACGTAAATGCATGCATGCATGCATGCATGATCTCCTGTCTTGCTGTGCTTGCATAGACAAAGATGGCTTCGAAATTTTCATGTTTTGCCTGCATGGTATGCGTGCATTTGCATGCAATGCATCATGTCATGCATGCGGTCATGAACGGTTTCTTGTTTTTGTTCTGCATGCATGCAGCTTTCAAGGTTGCTTGCAGCGGCATTGTATGCAGCACGGCAGCGGACTATGTTTTTGCACCAGCTCGCATTCAGGTCGGAGTGCATACTCAGAAAAACTGCATGCATGGTGGATGCTCTGATCATGTATGGGCCCAGCAGACTCCTCTGACCGCCTCCATGCATTGAAAGCTGGAAATCTGCCAAGCAAGCGAATTATTCGGCATGCCCTTCATGCCTTCACTCCCTTCTCAGCCGCTTGGTCGGGCTCTCACTTGAAGCAGGGCCATTGCTGTCGTCGTCATCATTGGTGGCCAAACAATGTCGAAACCACTGCCACCACCAGATCCTTAGATTGCAGCTTGCATGCACTTAGAAGCATGGCATGATGAAACAAACTTCAGCCCAGGATCGTGACCCCTGCGATTTCGCTTCGCATCCAACACCACCTCCACTCAAACCTCCTAGGAAGAGGCGATCTGCTGCGGCCCAGGCTTTCATCGCGAGGAGGCATCGCGATCTACAGGGAGTTGCTTCAAGCAAAATGCTGCAGGCATCATGGAATGCTGAACCCTCCATAAATCAAAGATTGCATGCAAGCATGGATCAAACAAAAATTCTTTGCATGACCCATGCATGCATGCATCTTGGCAAGCACAATCCCATGTTCAAGCTTGAACGAGTCATGCATGCCGGAAGCAAGCAAGGGCAAGCATGCACATGCATGATTCTTGCATGTAAGCATGGACAAAGAAAGCATTATTTCTTGTTGATGGGCCTAAATTCGAAACAATCATGCATGCAACCTACAAGCATGAACACATGCAAGGCAAGCATGACACTTGCAAAAGAAACATAAGCACAGCTGCATATTTTCATCATGCATGGCGAGGTCGCAAATAGGCAGGCGGCAACACGGTCAGTGTGCCATCATTGGCTTTGTTGTACACGACACTGCAAAGCAGGTCATCGGCACCGATGATGTAAATCTGGGGGTCACCTGCCTCTTCACGAAACTTGAGCATGTTCATGTCCCACCGCTGCTGAAGGAAAGTGGCGGGGGCAAGCATCACCAGAGCAATATTGTGCAGCTCAATGCAGCAGTGCACTTTGGCACATCTATAAGGGCACTCGTGCCCTGGCTCACTGCCATGCAGCACCATGTCGCCTTTCTTGATGATAGCACCATGCTTCAGCCTTGTCATGGTGCTTGTCATGCACTCACCCTCCTGCCGCAGGACATTGTACTGCACCAAGCTTTTCTTCAGCTTTGCAGTGCAAGCATGCGGCTGCAGCAAATGTGCCCGCAAATGGAAACCCTCTTCTTTGCCCATGACCGACAAATGCTCTGCAGTCACCTCTTCCAGAAGAGATGTGTCGAAACGAATCGTATTGCTAGAAGCCGACCCATATTTACGGGCGGCTTCCAAGACCCAGCATGCAGGCAGAAATCCTTGTTTCTCGTAGCAGCCATCCAAGTGGAGGGTCCAATGAAACTTCGGCCGCATCACTGGACCCCATCCTGCCTGCACCGCTTTTTCCAAGGCTTCCTCGCAAGCAAGGAGCAATTGTCTGGACCGAAGTGGTGCTTGATTATGATCGTTCAAGAGTTCGAGCACATGCAACCATGCTAGAAGCGATGCTTTCGCAGGCTGCACTTCTTCTTGCAGGCAGCATGTTGTGAAGTAGTGCTGCAATGGTTTCAACAAACCCAGAACTTCGGATGCAGTACACTTGAGATGACCTGTTTTTCTGTGGCTCTTGATTTTGTCTGCCGAAAACAAACTGCTCAAGGAGCCTTGTTTGTTGGCACCGGGCAACTGCCACAACTCCAAGTAGCCTGCGGAGGATTCCCACACATCGGCTTTGCCATGGTTTCGCCATGACTCGAATGCCCAACATATAACGAAACTGAGAACTCCGTTACTGTTTAGACAATGCATCCAGTCGTAACAATATTGCGAAGCCGGCTTGATCAATCCCAAAGCTCGTAACTTGGAAGACATGCACAAAGCATGTGGCGAAAACGTCCATCCACTTGCTTGTTGAAGCATTGCAAAGCGAGCCTTGCGTTCAGTTCCTGCCTTTGCTGCCAGCCGATCCCAACTCTGCAGCAATTCGCTGTCCGAGGCAAGGTCGCAGGAGGACAGGGTCAGGTGTCTGGAGCTGATCTTCCCCTCGTCGTCATCATCACCTTCACGTCTAACATTGAAAATGTTCTTGCAGAGCATGCAAACACGAGAACCGATGCCCTGGCGGTTTGCAAATGTTTGCTTCTGGGCACTGCCGTCTTGTAAAAAGACGTGGAGGGTCCAATGGAAAACAAACAATGCATCGGTTGATTTCATGACAATGCCATGCACCGGGTTCCAGAGCTTCTGTGCGAACATATCTTTTGATCCTGAGTCTCAGGATCTGGCCGATACCAGCTTCAACTTTTTGTACTAGCTCAGTTCTCAAGGCCGCCAATGTAAACCAGTGTCGCTCCTCGGATAAGCCTTGCTGTTGTAAGTTCAACCAAGAAAAATATATGCACCAAATTTTGCGGCCAGTACTAGAAAGTTGATTGCCGGGATGAGCTTCATCAGCATAAAGAACTCCCTTCCATGGGCAGTCCAAGCTTGAGGGGTCTTGCGTGTGCGTGTGATTGAAATAACGGTGCCAATACCCTTCCTGCCTGTATAACCCCTGGAGCATTGTTGGTAGGTTGAGGATATGAAAGTGCAAATCCCCACCATCAATTCGCACAGCTGTGAGCTGCTTGAGTAAAGACCCACAATCCCCAGCCATGGCGGCAATCTTCTCCAGAACCGCTTGCTTGATGTTCTTCCTTCCATGCAGCTCTGGCACTCCTTCCTGTTCCACCTTGTTCAAAATCGCTGCCAATGCCGAGCACGACACGAAGGGAATGCCTCTACGGAAAGCATCGAGATGGTCCAGCTTCTGCTTCTTGGAAGCTGAGCTGGAGGACTTAGCCATAAAGCATGGCTTGTGATGATCCCTACCCTAAACTCAAAGACTTGGACAGCTGGGCATGTGACAACAACCTCATGCAGTTTTGCCATGCAAGCATGCAAGCAAGTGAGAAGCCAGCCCTAAGCGCTAGGAACAAGCAGCAGCAGCCCTTTTTGCCGAAGGCTGGACATGTATAGTGCATGGAATCCCCTTGTGCTACCTTTTTCAGGTAGGTCGGATGCAACCATGCAAGGTCGCATCGAAAGCCCTCGGGCATAGAGCACTCTATGCACCTGTGTGTACCCAAACCCTGGGACCTGGATCAGTGCTTGGCCGCCTTCTTCCGTTCCTCCATGTGCTTCTTCCATTCGGCCCGACCGTTGAGTCGCACACCGGCGAACCCATCGAAATTGCAATTGTCGCAGCCATACACATTGCCACGGCATCTTGCACAGCCCCAGCAGGTGAGCCTTCCGTCCTGCTTGGCAGCCTTCTTCTCTTTGTTCATCGGGTGTTTCTCAACACACTTCGCTGCAGGCTTTTTGAAGAGCTGTGGCATCTTCTGATTGCAGGGCTTCCCATTCTTCTTCTCCTGCTTCGGTGCTTTCTTATTCTCCACTTGTGCCAATGCCTCTGCTTCGTACTGTTCCAAGCTTTTGCCTTCGTTTGCCCCTGGCACCGACTGCTTTTCCGGAGACTTGTTTTCCGGAGCATCGGCGGGGCTCTGTGCCGGTACGTGCAGTAGAGGAATTTGCAGGTGTCGGCAGCAACTGGAGCTGCCGGATCACCTCGTCCTTGGAGGGCATGCAACTCGAGGGGCATGACTGCTTGAGTGCAGCTTGTCTGGCTTCCTCCTCGGCAAGCTTTTCTTTCATGGTCTCCAGCCAAGTCTTTTGCTGCATGGCATGCATGGACATGTTGCAAGCAAGCTGATTGGAACCCTGAGAAGTGCCTTTGAGCAGCCGGCTGGTGGTGCGGATTGGGCACGACTTGGACAAGACATGCAGCTGTGGCAGCTCTGCACAGCTGGGGTGAGAACCTATGCAGGCTTTGGCAATCCAATCTGGTCCCAACTCTCGAGGATCGTCTGGATATGTCCGGAAGGCAGGCACATCACTCTGTACGTTCAGGCTGTGAAAAACGTCCTGGAAGTCAGTCGGTAATTTGTAGATTTTGTCTGCATCTGGTTGTTGGAGATTTTGCCAAAGATGGGGCACATGCAAAGTGACACAGGATTTCTTCGTACATTCTTTGCGGCTCGTCAAGCCAATCACCCGAAGCCGTCTGGCAATGAGGATCGGGGCGTCCTTGATGTCACCTTGCATAAGCTGCACGATTTCCTCTTTCGTCAAATAAGCCACTGGGTTCTTCAGTGTCTGCGGAACTTTGACGAGCTTGCAGCCACCTTCCGTGCTGCCACCTGAAGCATTCTTCAATAGAGCATCACTCAATGCCTTTTTTGTATTTTCGTCCAATCCAGACTGTTCCACAGACTGGAGCATGTTCACATACTCCGCTGCCGGCAAACTGTTGGCAGTCACGACCTTCTTTTGCAAGACATTCAAAAGACTCGCCTGGAGCTGTGGATTCGGAGAGAAGCTCAAAAGCTTCTGGACATCCGAAAGCTCCTTGGCAAAGTCCTTGCTGCCCCAAGCAATTGCCATGAGTCCAAGGACCCAGGACCTAAATGATTGGGGCCTGTGCTAGGAGCCTGAGCCCGTAAGCTTGCCACCAAGGGCCAGAACACGAACAATTAGCAAGTTTTAGGCGTCCCAAGTATAACTCAATCAAAACACGCTGCTTATTGAAACCTTTTCAGTACCGCTGTCCTCGAGAAGCTTATGCTCCTTCACCTCACGCCAAACCCTAAACATAAGACCCTCCAGGCCCTGAACCTCCAAGCAAAGCAAGATACCTCCGCTAGCTGGGTGGCGTTTCTTTTGACGCCGTTCTTGGTTCCCGGTTTTTCACCTTTAGTTTGATTTTTCGCTTAGTCACCATTTTTCCACTTTTACTTTTTCGCTGCTTTTACAGTTTTATCCTTTTCGCTGCGTGGCGCGTTTTTTCGATTTTACTGTTTTTCGCTGTTTTTACAGTTTTACTCTTTTCGCTGCGTGGCGCGTTTTTACGATTTTACGGTTTTTCGCTGTTTTTACAGTTTTACGCTTTTCGCTCCGTGGCGCGTTTTTACGATTTTACGTTTTTTCGCTGTTTTTACTGTTTTACTTTTTTCGCGCGGCAAATTGTTTTTACAATTTTACGTTTTTCGTTTTTACCTTCGTCCGTTCCGCGGCGGAAATACATCCGATCCTGGAACTTTTTACATTTTAATAGTTTTACATTTTTTGCTCTGAAGTTGGGCTATCTGGTTTTTACATTTTTACCTTTTTACCCTTTTGCTCGCTTCCTCCGGTCGAAAAATGGACTTTTTGATTTTTGGTTTTTTACGTTGTTCGCTGCCGATGTGCGTCCGGACTCCTTAACTGTTTCAACAACACTAAGCCAGCACAGTTAGCAGCCTTGCTCGTGGGCATGGCGGTTTCAGGTGACGGCTTTTTCCGACATGTTGCTCCTATTAGTAATGCAGATACTGCTAATGTGATAACAACGACTGATAGCATTAATAGTCGAGTAGGTTACCTCCCATACACACGGCCCGTAGCTCGCGTCATAACCAGGACCAGCAGGGAGTTGATACTGTTTTATCTGACCCTTTAGTGGAGGGCAACTTTTGTTGTTGTCGCTCTGATTGTGAGCTTGTGATTGGATCCGGGTCTTGGGCAGACGATTAGGGCACATTGAGACAATGGCACAAATTATTCTTGAGACGCAATGACCCAGCAGAGACGCTTCCGGCAATCGATGTGAGAATATCTGTAAGCCTGTATCGTGGAATTTTCCGAGGCATAGTATCGTCTACTCGGATATGCTATACCACCCACTAGCCGGTTATTGCACCGTATAACAGATGTGCTAATCTGTATGTTGATTTATACAGCTATTCAAGCACAAAAAGCGTCAAACTTTCATGAGAAGCCAACTTCGCCAACACCCCAACCCCCCGGAGCAACTCAGCACGAAAGGGGTCAAACCTTCATGCGAAGCCAACTTCGCCAACACGGCAACCCCCAGAGCAACGCGGCACGAAAGGCGTCAAACCTTCATGCGAAGCCAACTTCGCCAACACGGCAACCCCCCGAGCAACGCGGCACGAAAGGGAACCTTCATGTGAAGCCACCTTCGCCAACACGGCAACCCCCCGAGCAACGCGGCACGAAAGGGAACCTTCATGTGAAGCCACCTTCGCCAACACCCGGAGCAACGCAGCGCGAAAGGGGGTAAACCTTCATGCGAAACCACTTTCGCCAACACCCCAACCCCCCGGAGCATCGCCGAAGCCACCCCCCAAGGAGTCAAGTGCTTTACCCTCGCCGATGCCGGGAAATGGTCTTTCGCGCTGGCTGCCCGAGCTTGGAGGTTCAGGGTTGAGGCTTTGGACTCCAGCAGATCGGCATAGAGTTCCTGTTCCGGGTTCGGGGATGATTTGTAGGTTGTGCATGGGCTGAGCTGGAGCTTGGGAATTTGCAATGTAGCCTTCAGGGTGCTAGGGATCTAGGCTTTAGCGGTTTAGTATAGCAAACTACCGGTAGGGGGCTTGTCTTCAGGGTTCATGATTATTAAGCAAGGAGTAGTGGCTGAGGGCTTCAGGGATCTGGGTTTTGACGGTGTTTAGGAGGACCCGGCCGCACGACCTCCTATTGCTGCTACCACCACGACGGCGACGAAGACGACCAAGACGACGAAGACGACGACGACCACTACTACTACTACTACTACTACTACTACTACTACTACTACGCCTACTACCATCAGGCGCAGGAGTACTAATACCACG